GGTGTTGGCTTGAATTAGCCTGAATGGCAACCAGAAATCACAGAAATGAATCTTCAGGTAGACATGCAAATCTTTTTGCTTTCTGCAGAAAAAGAGGAGGAGAAAAGAAATATGCTCTGAGCTGAGACTCTACACATGTACTGGAGTGGTTCCCAGATCTGACTGCATTAGTTACAGTGGGGTTTTTTTCTTTGTTGGCAAACATGTGTTCCTTTACTGAAAAAGTAACAAGAACCATCTTGGAAACAGATATACATAAAAGACCAGCAATGAAAAATCCAACAGAAAAAAATGCTTCATCTCTATCAAGAATATCCTTTTGTAACTCTTCTGAAAATTGCACAATACTGTATGTGCATTTTTTGACCCTGAGACCAGATTGCATCTCCAAAGAAACATCCTGAGCATTGGCAATTGCTTTGTCTGAAGTTCTTAAAACATCAAAAAAAAAAAAAAAAAAAAAGATACAGGTTACATTTGAGGTAATGATGACATTTTGTATGTATTCCTGGTACCAGTTATATTGCTGGAGAGGATTAATGAGGAAAAGGCAAACTCATAAATTAAACACTTAATGCTATAACATAGAATCATACTTCTGCATGATGGTGATACTATGTGTTGGTGTGTGGGGGGGGGGCAGGGGGAACTTGGCTGAATGTGTAGCTGTGGGTGTGTCTGTGTGTGCTATGTTGTGGCTTGGATCCGGGTGATTTGCTCTCAGCCAATCAGATTGAAGCGGGAGGCGTTTCTTTGTAATGGGGGGTTGTCAGTCAATGATTAAAGGCTGGGGGAGGTTAAACTCTCCACCAGGCCGTAAAACACTGACCCTCTGAAGTTAGGAGTGTAGTATGATGTCTGTAGTAGGTCTCAGGCCAAAATATCTGCTTCAGCTCAAGTTTAAAATCTGAGGTCGATGCTTCTGGAATAGGTGCCAAGACTATGTTGATACAGTATGAAGGTCCAAATGTAGATGTATATGTGACATCACTTCATTTTGACTCAAAGGTCACTGAGTCCATTCAACTATTTTTAAACTTATGGAGTGTGTTAATATTTATTTAAATTATTATTCATCACAACATTAAATGAAGCTGCACCCTCAACAGAAATATAATTCCAGTCCAAAATGGTTGATTGTATTTGCAGACGTTGATCATGATCTTTGAAAAGTTTCCATGAAATCCTGGGTGGCTTTTTCACAAATTTTCTATCCAGACCCAGCTGTGATATTTGAGGAAAGGAGGGCAATACCAATTTCGGATACCTAATCAATACTCAAACCCTCTAAGAAGAAGGAATGTAAAAAAAAAAAAAAAAAAAAAAACAGTTTTTCAGGAAGATGTTCTCTATTTGATTGTTTTTTAAGGTACCTGCTGAAGACAAGTTAAGCTCTAAGAGAGTAGAATAAATCCTGCAGATTTTTCTGTGGACTATAGATAAATTATATCTGCTGCTTGAAGCTAAAATACTTTCAGAACATAATGTAGCAGCTGTGTTAATTTAAGATCAGCATCGGTTGCTATTTTTTATATGAAAGACATGGCTACTCATTATAACTGAACTTTATTGATCTCACTTTGGAGAAATATACCTCTGCATTTAACCCATTCCTTTGGGGATGCAATCGAGGTTTTTTTCAGGAACCCGGAGTGGTTGGATGATTATTAAGCATGGTAACCTACAATAAAGAAATATACACCTTTCATACCTTACCATACCAACTTTATTTATGAAGCACTTTATATACTGGACAGGACCAAAGTGCTGTACACAATCATAAAATACAATGCAATACAATACATACAATACTTCATCCTATTAAATGTTCGCTATACAAAACACAAAAATATTATAAATGAAATATACAGTTTATAATGGGTCAAGACTTGATATTGTCACAACATCTGGTAAAAGATCAGCGAAAGAAAGTATTTGACTACAGTGTCCTGTCATACTCTTACACCGTTAAATATTCTGTTTCACAGCAGAATAAAAGTGTTTTTTAGTAGTACTTTTTTACTTGATTTTTGTGCTGTCACAAAAATATCCACCATCTACTCTTTAGCAGAACGTGGGCTTCATTTATTTATAGTCAAAAACCTTTGGCTTACTTTTACTTGACTTCCTCCCTCAGATAAATTATGTCTCAGTTCCTCCTTTTTGGGATAATGTGAAGAAATTGCTCTAAACAGTCACTCTTCGTTTAGAATGGGGCATTAAAATACCTTTCACATAGAGTTAATCACACTAAATAGTACCTCTTTATTATATTTAGAAGTATTATCAGTTATTTCATAATTCCTCAGCTATTAATAACACCCCACATAATATGTGGGTTAAGGTGGGCTGATTATTTTCCATGACTTTATGACTTTATATGAAATTTGATCATCAACGTTTCTCAAACATTTTTTGGAATAGCTTACACATGATTGAAATGTGCAGAATTTATGTCCAAATGTCATAGCAGTAATCTGATAGCCCTGCTAAACTGTGGAGATACTCTGTCTGTGCCGATGAAAGGTTTCTCACCTTTATATCCTGAATTCTCAAAAATGGCTGACTCAGAAGGTCAGTTTGAGAAATTATATTTGAATTCAGTTAATAAATAGGAAAACATTTGTAGGAACTCATAAACTGTAAAGCACATAGTGCCTGTGGGGATCAGATGGCCCCAGAGGACCTATGAAGAGCCCACAAAATCACACAGCCCAACAGCAAAGTGCAACCAAAACCTTATTCATCCCTCATTTTTTATTACACTTTTTTATATAAATTTGAATATTACAATAACTAAACCTGTTATAAAAATATGTTTATTATACATGAAGTTTAAGTGAGATCTGACTTGTAGTTCAAAGGTTAGTACTAGTAGCTCTCTATATGACTCAGTACACATCAAGTAATGCTCACTTTCAATATGATCGCTGATCTCTGGTATGGAGCATTGAACCTGCATGTCAACATGGTCACATTGGATCTCACAGCATTTAACTATAATTTTTTACAATAAATATCTGTATTTTCACATTACAAGATCTGATTACATTATTTGCAATATAGTACTGTAATTGAATGTTCTACTGTGATATTGATGTTCGCACTATAGATTATTGTAAACATTACTTTTCACAAACTTCCCAACATTTTAAATGTAAATCTTTATTGTTCCAAAATGGGGAAATTTACTCTTTTTTAAATCCATCCCTTTGGGGAGCAGTGGGCTGCCACTGTTGGCACTTGGGGAGCAGTCTGTGGTTAAGGTTCTTGTTCAGGGACCTAGAGTGGCAACTCCGAACCTCTGGGACCAAAGTGCAATGCTCTAACAACTAGGCCCCCCTCCACCTACTCCACCTACTCCGGTAAAATACTGTAATCACACCGTCCTTTGTAATAACACAATACATTACAGTACCATTTGACACACCCATTTTGCTAGTTTGTACAGAATGCTGTTATCTATAATGGAGCTCAGGTACCAATCCTATATCTATTTGATTAAACTAAATTCTATTTACTGAATAGCTCTATGTGCTGCCTTCTGCTATTTAATAGAGACGAAGAAGAACTGATCACCCGGGTTTAAGGATTTAACAGGGTTTAACCTGAGCCAGACTTTACCACCATGATAGCCAAATTACAGTTATGGAGGTGGAATATAATTGTTTTTACAACATAGTGGTATCTGTACTCTGTGTTGGCACATCGGAACATCTCTTTCATTACTAATTTCTTTCTTTGGTGATTGATTTACTTACAAGGAAACTGAGTGTAGAGGATGTAGCTTGCAAAAATCAAAGATGAATTTATGTAAAACTGAGAGCTGTTCTTTTTGTATTTTGCCCACCTGTGAGGACACCGGAACGTCAATTGATCGACTTTGAATGAAAGATGTGAACGTGCAAAGTAAATAATTGTGTTGATTTTCAGCTCTGTCAATATATTTGTTGTTTTATTTCTTTTACTTTGTGTAATAAAATTGTCAGTGGTCTTGGTGTTTGTGTTCAATGTTCCTAAAGCAAATTCACAGCATGTTTTGATTAAATGTGAGATCAATACAATATTTTTACAATATTTAAGTAATTCGCTACTGAGTTTTTTTATTTTTACAGTAAAAATGTAAAAATCCTGTGATTTATATGTTGTAACATACTGTGATTCCAAAGCAAAATACAGCTATTTCATAATAATCACTGTAAAATTGCAACATGTGGCTTTTATTTTGGTGGAACCTACTGTGAATATATGTTACACATATTTTCAGTAAAATACTGTGATACCTTCCCTGTTGTTTACTGTGAAAATACTGTGAAAGTAATACAATCATTATCCAGTATTTTACTGTGAAATCATAGTGAAAACTTTAACAGTGCAGGTGATTAATAAGTTTAAAAAAAGAAAGAAACCATGCAATATAGACATCACCACAATAAGCTATTGTTGCAAATACATTATACACAGTTTATTATATATGAACCGTTCAGAAAAATTACACTTAATAAATTACTACATAGGCAGGATTGGGGTTTAGGGGGAGTGGCGGCCTAGTGGTTAGGGCATTGGGCTTTGAATCCTGAGGTTGTGAGTTCAATCCCCCACTCCCACAGACTGCCACTCTGGGTCCCTGAGCAAGACCCCTAACCCCACACTGCTCCCCGGGCGCCTCACAATGGCAGCCCACTGCTCCCCAAGGGGATGGGTTAAATGCAGAGAATTAATTTCGTTGCTCTGTACTTGTGACAGTGGAATGACTAAAAGTTGAATTCTATTCTATTCTAGATTCAAATCAAAATCAAAAGCTGTTTGAGTTTCAGCAGCATATAAAGTAAGATAAGAAACATTAATCATATGCAGATGTACCCCTATCTCTTTAAATGTTTTCATTTCAAAATCTTCAAATGACAGCATAACATGCACAGAAACAAGTCTGAATATGCCCATCCACAGTGTGAATGTTCATTGCAACAAGTTCAGTTGTGGCTTGAACCTCCTATCCAGATACATTCCAGCGGAGAAAATCTGCAGAAACAAGACTGTTGAACAGAGAATGTAGGAAAAATGGGATGAAAGCAGGACAGAGACGAGCCCAGGAGGAAACGGAAATAATATTTAAAAAGAAGAAAAGGAGAACATGGTGTTCCAACACTACTTGCTGATGCTGCTATTGGTCAGCGACCATGAACTGATTACAGGTAGAGTTCAGCAGAAATCTAGGGATTAGTTGGATTTTTTTTACATCTTAAATAAGTAAAGTTTTCTCTTGTGTTCTTCTTCTTCTGTGTTTGTTGTTTTTGAAGATGTAGGAAAACATGACTGTCTTGCAGCAGCTCTTGCTGACTGGCCTCTTCTGGCCCTGAACTTGTTGCAACGTGTGCTCTCTGGAATTCATTAAAAAAAAAAGAAAATCCTGCATGGATGACCTGATGACAATACAGATATGATTATTTATCGGATGGGCCGTGATTCTAGACCTGCATGAACTTCTTTAGAGATTTGTTGTAAGATTCAGCCAACAATATGGTCAGGAAAGCCTGAACTACTCTGAGGGTTGTTGTTTTTTTTTAAGCAGCTTACAGAATCTCAAACCTCAGTGAATACAGGATTAAGACTGACTAATTTTTTTTCATGTTAGAACTTTTTTAGCAGTGGTTACAGCGTTCAGCCAGATGCTTCTATGATGGAGGTCAATGAAAAGATATTTCATCAGTTCTGAAGGTTTTTATTTAGAAGAATACACCAACTTTATTCAAAAGATTTAAGTGTTTTTCAATTCCCTGCAGGAATGAATATTAGCCTCTAGGCCAAATCCTGATGAATTTTAGTTTAGTTTAGTATTTTTTTGGTTTATTAGTTTATTTTGGTAGCAAACAAAGACAACAAACAAACAAAAAAAAATGTCACCACAGGAAAACACATGAATTTGAAAACTCAACAGGAGTAGGTTGAAGTTGACAGAACTTATGAAAAACCCACTCCTGACTTATCATACATGAAGCTGCAGTTAGATTTTCACCTTACAAAAGCTATTTACAGTTTAACTCTTTATAGATACCAGGTACAAGCGGTGCATAGCATCTGTTTGTACGCCTGTATGATCGTACAAATTATGCATTTGAAAAGTTAAAAAGAAAACAAAAACATTTACTAAGCACTTTCATAGTCCTTTGATGGGTCCATAATACCACTATTATATTATTTAAGATCGTACGAATGGAAGAGGAGAAAAAAAAATACATATTCACCAACCATTTCATCAGTAATTTTGATAGGTATATTATACCACCTATTTAATCGTTTATGATCGTCCAAATTACAAAAAGAAAGTAGAAATACAAAGCATTTACTGCATATACCAGGCATTCCCTGAGTTTTTAGGTTCATAATGCCACCTATTTTATTATTTAATCATTGAACAGATGATAAGCGTAGAAAAAGAGATGAAATGATGACCTGCTGTGTCCATGCATTATCAGTGATTGGAGTTTAAGTTTGTAAAGTTCACCATTTGATTAGATATAATGACTAAACTTTTATATTAAATTCCATCTTTTTGCTTGCTTTAGCATTTCAGTCTCTCACTAATGTGTGTTTTGATAAGAGGTCATTTATTTAAAAAAAAATTTGATTTTAGGTCAGAATCTAAACTTTTCTGTTCCATTTTCTTGGCCTGTTCTGCAATATTGTCAAACAGGCCATTTTGTTATCCTCTTAAGCAGACAAAATCCTGCCATTTTCTACCCTTTCTTGGCTCATCAGAAGCTTTAGTTGCAACTGAGTAATGGAATAAAACTTGCTGGTGTTTTTGCTGCAGAGCAGATGCAAAATGTTAAAGTAAATTTACTGTTTAGCAACTAGATGTTACAGTAGAGCCATCAGACAATCTATGTAGATTTAAACTTTATTGAGTTCTACAGTATAAGAGACTAAAAACAAAACAGAAGAGGCTTTTCTTCTATGCTTTGATTTCTGACTAATATTCTGCAGTAATGAATGTAGTTAAAATATATTTTTCATATTGGATTCGTTGGATTACCCGTTAAGGTCATATAGAGGAATGTTTGTATACAAAGTCTTAACAATATTAGAAACTTCTTATTCAGGATTGTGGTTAAAATTTTCTCTTGCTTTCTTGTTTTCTATTAACAGAATTACTCAACACTTTATTATAGCATAATGCATTAAACTGATTATATTAGGTTTGTGCATCAAAGGTAGTGAGAGTCGATTGAAGCGCTGAATATATTATTTGTTTTCAAATTCTCCGTAAGCTCTCTAAAATATAATTTTACATCCAAACAGTCCTTAGCTATTGCACACATTAACATTGCTATGAAGATTACATTTTGCAGACCGGCATAATACTTTTGATCTCCATCTGAATTGAGCTTTTTTTTCTTTTTTTTATAGGTAAATTCTCTTTTTTTTTTTTAGTTCTGTTTCATTATTTCTATTAGTGCTCTTAGTGCTGAGCTGATCTGTTTGTCTCACTTAAAGCTTTGTTTCTCAATACAAAACTAAATATTTATGAATATTGTATGTAGATAAGAAAAGAGACCAATAAAGGTAAACATCAAGAAAAACTGCAGGGAATAAATCCAGTGGCACGGGAAGGGGGGTGCTGCGGGGGCTGCAGCCTCCCTCGTCATAGCATCAGCCCCCCATGGTGGGGGGCTGTGGAGTAACATAATATTGTACTTAAAAACATGAAATTATTTATGTATTTATTTTTTAAAAGACTATGTTTGATATGGGATTAAAATGATGGGCTGTGTATAAGATATAAACTAATGATTCATTATTTTAATATTTCATAAAAAACTAGGCTACTCCCCCAGAAGCTTCCGCCACCTCACATTCGTTTAGGCATGGCTAGCAATAGGCAGCAGAAACGTATTTCTGACTATTTCGAGGTAAGAAATGGTTTTAATTCCCCTATACTGCTGCATTTAGCGTTATTTATGTGCCTATTCATCTTAGTCCTGTGGCTGAAGAAGTATACGCTAGAATAAGGCTGCATATCACTAAATTTTATGTCTGTATTAAGCCATTTAGTGATAAAATATGAAATTAGTTAATTTTTTTGTTTTGTGTGTGTTCTTTGTTTCAGATATGAAATCATTCCCCATATCCATAGTCGAATGGACTTTCAAGATGTTCAATGCATAGTTTAGGCTATATTTAGGCCATGTTTTATTCAAGTGTTCCTGATGCTGTTGATTGGGAGCTGTTGTTTGTTTTGAATGATTAAAAGAGAAGAAATAAAGTTTAAAATGTTCATGCTTTGTTCCGATGCATTTTAAATGGCAGTTTTTGGTGACAAATGTAGGCCTACAATATTATGTTAAAAACGTCAGCCACAGCCCTCAACATGACGTCATGTGTTTTCCAACCCAGCCATCAGCCCCCCTCGCTTGAAACAGTTTCCAGCGCGCCTGAATAAATCATGGTTTATATTTGCTGTGCATTATTTCAACTAACATTTCTTTTCTTTTTTTCTTGCAGGTGGTGGAATTAGCATCAGTCCTTTTATAAAGCGTTATGAGGTCTTATCATATGACAGAGGGGATCTCCACAGGAAGCACTTAAGGGCCAGGAGGGACACACAACCTCTTGAATATACACTGGATTTGAATTTTACTGCTTTTCATCGGTAGCTTCTCATTTCATCTTATTTTTTGCATTATTTACATCTCAGATAGTGGAGGGAGAACTATTGGTTTTATCATAAAAGAGCACAATCATTGAAAAGACATAACAAAACCATTTCAATGACTAAGATTATCATTTAAAACTGAAACTGAGACATGGAAATCAGTTGCTTTAAAAAAAAATTATTTTTATTTTTTTATAAAAAAAAAAAAATTATATTTAAAAAGGTTTAAAGTTGCAACACAGTCCAGATATGAGGTGCAAGGAAAACAGCAGAGAGATCTTCAATGAAGTTTTTGAATTTGTATGATTGTAATGGCTAAAATGATGAGTAACATGGGAGGTAAGCAGAATTTTAAAGTCTTAAAAACCTTAAAGTTAACAGTCTACATGTATTAACATTAACTTATGCTACTGGTTAGTTATCTGTCAGTTGATGATAGATTGGCAGACTTAACATTACCTTACAAGGCTTTGACCACATCTGCAAACTGTGTTTTGTTGCGATCAGAGATTTCCGTCTGCTATTGAGGCAGGATCCTGGTGGGTTTTCAGAAGAGTTCACGGTGGTCAGTGAAAATGGCCCAGCATCGCCGGACCTGTCCCACTTATACTCAGGAACAGTAGAAGGTTAGTAGCCTCCAGACCGTTTAATGGAACAACTAACCCAAAATAAGGACAATTCAGATGAATAAATAAAACATTAAGTTGGATTTTTATTTCCAGCAGAAGCGGCACAAAAGGAAAGTAAAAATTAAAAAGAAGAAAAAGTTAGGGTAAATATTTAATCTACAGATTTCAGATGAAATATATAGATAAAGATGTTTACATTGATGGACTAACATAAACATGCATAATATTTAACAAGATTATTCTCCAATACTTGTTTGGTCAAATAGCACTCCTTCAATCAATATATCTGTGTTACTCCTCACCATCTCTCTGATGCTATGTTGTTTCTTCCCTTGATTTTCTCTGCAGGAGAGGATGGATCGTCCTGCTACGGCTCTGTATTACAGGGACAGTTTGAGGGAACCATCCATACCACCAATGGCACTTACCACATAGAGCCTCTTCACAGATACACCAACAGCATAGCAGATCATCACTCCATCATTTACCAGGAAGAGGATCTGGGTAAGGCTGATCTTATTCAAGTGGAAAAGCTTTATAGATGCTTAGAGGCTCTGCAGCAGGTCTGATCTATGTGCAACAGGGGAGATAATGTATCCAAACTGCTGTCAAAACTCTTTGCAGGTGATGTGAAAAAATCAGAATAGAAATGATTAAATATAATTTATGATCAGCTGCATTCTTGCTGGTCTCATCTGAAGAGAAATAAACAGACCAACATCCCCCCAACCCCCTTGCCGATACACACATGCATAGAAAGAGTATTCATAATCCTTATACTTTTACTCACCTTTTTTCACATTACACACAGATTTCATCATTATTTTCATAGTATTACTTGACAAAATGTGTAAAGCAATTTGAGTATTTGTGTTGTATGCCAACTGTTCCTGCATTAGGAAGAGCTTCCAGCCTGATCAGGGCTATTGAGGGCCAATGTACTTGGTAGTAGAAGACTTACAGCGTGCCAGCAGTGCTTCCTGAGGGCTCCAAGTGGGTTTTGAGGTTTTCTCCACATGGACACTAGCCAAAGAAAACATCAACTGTAGATGGTGTGATTTTTGTAGGAGGAGGGGATGAGGTTTGAGGAAAATAGTTGTAAAGCGGTTTAGAGGATCAAGAGGTAAAAAACATTTAAATGTGATTAGTTAGATAGATAGAAATGTATTTATCTCACTATGGCGAAATTTGCTCGTGATAAAAAGTAGAGTGGTATGTAATGGTTCTGAGAGTTTTCAAGGTTTTAAAGATTATCTAAAACAGATTCTAACTTGTAGTGCTTTTCATGATTTATCCAGATGAAAGCGATTAGGAATAATCAAAATCTGGGAGTGCATCTGCTTTAGCGTGTGTGTGATTCTTTGGCTGCTCATGCGTGTTTGCATTAGTATAACCTGAGCTCCAAGAAAGCATTTACTGGAAAAGCAGTGAAGGCTGTGCCAGAACTCCCCTCAACTCCCACGTTTGTCCCTCAATCTGCTCTCCATCCACCCTACTTCCCACTCCAACCAGAACGTCTTCATGCTGAGGTATAGTAAAAACCTCGCTTTGGTTCGCCAGAGACATCCTGTTCCCTTAGCTGGAGGCAGTCTGCAGGAAACTGGAAAAGATGGACCATGTGATACTACAGTAAACAATCGATGCTTCCATAGAGAATGTAAGATTAGGTCTCAAGATGGTGACATAATGTGTGTATTTTGACTTCCTGCAGTTGTCCTCTGGAGGACTCAGTTTTGATTGAGGAACTTCAGTTTTCCCGAGGGAGGCTGGATGTCATGCAGTCTGTTAAATCTGGAGCAAAGGCCAATGCAAAAATGGACTGATACCTGGATGGATTAAACTCAAACCAAAAAAGACTCTTTAAAATATTCAAAATAATTGTAAAGAGTATTCATAGTTGAGATAAAACAAACAAGTAATGCAGAAAACATGTTACTAGTAAAGTATCCTGGAGCATTTTCTGTTTTCATACAGATCCAACGTGTCTATTGCATAACATACTTTCTTGATCCCTCTCCAACTCATTTAGTTTCGATATGATTCCTTTAGGAGACTCCATTTTGACCAAAAGGCGACGCGTTGATGCTTATTATTGTAAACAGTTATCTAAGCTACTTGCTACTAGATCAGATTGATTTTGCTGGATACATTTTAAGCCTGCTATGATTCTCCAGATTCATTTTAAAGAGCAAAGGCAGCAAAACCTACAGATTTAAAAAATTCTGATAAATCAAATACGGTAATTTGTATTATTCTTTTATTGCAAAATGAAGAGAGGAATGTACCTTGTTTTGATTTAATAGAAAACATTAATTAAGCTTTATCATCAGGATGACATTCTTGCAGATGGAAATGTGAAAGCTGAATGTTGGAAATATGGGATTTCTGTTCAATCAGAAGAGCTTAGAAGATACAGGGTATACAAGAAATGTTGCTTTTTAATACAGAGATCCAAATTGGGCCTGAATGTCTAATTAAATCGGCCTTTTATTGGTGTGTTTGAGCCTGTTCCCTTTTTGTCAAGAATTATACAAAAAATAAAGGTTTAAACAGGGCCTAACATTTTTGACAGCTATTCGCTTCTGTATTATTTTTAATAAAGAATTATTCACCCATCCATTTCCCATCATGCTTATCTCAAGCAGGGTTGCGAGGGGTGCTGGTGCCTGTCTATGGGCGAGCTGTCTATGGGCGAGAGGCAGGGCAACACAAAGACAAACAGGACAAACTACCATTCACGCACTCCTAAGGAGAATTTAGAGAAACCTGTAATCAACCTAATAGTCATGTTTTTGGACTGTGGGAGGAAGACGGAGTACCCGGAGAGAACCCATGCATGCTCAGGGAGAACATGCAAACTCCAAGCAGAAAGACCCCAGGCGGGGAATCGAACCCAGAAGCTTATTGCTGCAAGGCAGCAGTGCTACCCACTGCATCACTGAGCAGCCCCCATTTTGCTATTCAGATAAATAAAATAAAGCAAGGGAATTTGGTACCTCTTTTCTTTGTAGAATTATTTTAATTCAAAAACTTTGGAGAATTTGAAACATAACTGGCCTGTTTAAGCTCCTGCATCAGCATCTTAATCAGGTTTAATTTTAGTTATTCAGCTTAACTTTCACTAGGCTTCTCAGAATCCTTTTTTATTTCTATGTAATTGCCCTTTATGAGCTATGCCTGAAAACACAATCTGATGGTCAGATATTATCTTTCAGGGTTTTAGAAATTATGTTTCCAGTTATGGGATATGTGTTGGTACTGAGATTGCAAAGCGGTCCTAAACCATTACCCTATCAACACTGTGTTTAACCACTAGTAATATGTTTTTTTTTTGTTATTTCATATTCAAATGCTAGGTTACCTTTATTTAGAGTTATTAACATGCAAATATTTTGTTTGACTTTTTCTGTCGTCTTCAGACGTTATCAATGAAGTTTCTGCAGCTGCCCATAGACAACTGAAATGTCTCCCAAATAAAAGTGTCATGATCAGCTGAGACAAAGATGAAGCTATTTGTTTATATTCACCAGTTTTACGTCTTTCCTCCTATAACAGAAAATCCACATGTTTGCATCGATTTCTCGTCAAAAAGAAAAGCTCAAATTGAAAAAGACTATCCCTTAAATAAAAAATAAGCCAACTAAAGCACATTTTTTATCCAACCCAACATTAACCTTTTGGTTGTTCAGTTTAACAGCTGTGTAAATACTCTTTCACCTTCCTTTCACTTTAATTAATAACATTTGCTGCTTGCTATGCTTGGGAAAGGGTTCAGCCACTTGTTACCCTCTGTGTGTTTTGCAACAACAAAAAGCTGATCAGTGTTTTGGGTTTGTTCCCAACCATGTTTGCACCCAGCCATGGAACGATTGTGTGTGCATCAACCTGATATTGATCAATGTGTAAGGCCTCTTCCTATAAAAAAAATAAACCTCTGCGCTATGAGGCGGTCAACCTCTGTAATACATGTCAACATTAAACTGTAGTTTCATTTGGAATTATCAGAAAATAAGACTGAGAAAGAAACAAAGACACTTATTTTTATGCAGTATGCAAGTACTTAAACTCACAGCTATGAGATATGGGTGGATTAAATGATGAGCCATAAATTCTGTTATATCGTTATTCTGGGGGGATTAAAGAGACAAAGAGTTTTTTTTTTTTGTTGTTTTTTTTTTACACTGGCTACAGATCATCATTAAACACTGCATTACAGAGTTGATTCTTAAAAGTTTGGTGAAGCAAAGCTGATTTGAGACTGGGTTTGGCATCTGCTTTCTGCACCATGCTGCTCAGCAGGAACAGTTTTCAACAGCTGCTGGAAACATGACTCCTGCGGCTCAAATGTGACTAATTCCTCATGTGGGAGAAATCATCTTTCTTTTACAATTAAGAGAAAAAACTCTATTCCTTAAATAATCTCGGATTGACGCTGCGGTAACACCATTCAGGTTTAGAGGAGGTTTTCTGCCGATGTTGAAATGTCTGATTTCTTTGAAATGCAGAGAAATATTGAATTCCTGTTGCACAGAAAAAAGGGGGATATGCTGACAAAGGCAGGGTATGAAAATAGACATGAAGAAAGGTCTGGAAGCAATTCTGGGTAGACACCCAGCATTTAGGGCCTCCACTTCCAGCCCCTTCCCCCACTCAGGCCATACATAGATCTTACTGTGGGGTCTGTGATTGGCTGAGGCACTTCAGGAGGATGGTGTGATTCAATCATGTGCTGCTTTGTCTGTGGCTGAATGTAAAAGGTCAGAAAGACAGATTCACAAACTCTTTGAATAGTTTCTTGTATTTCATGGTTACATTTTAAAATACATTTACTGCTTCATAACTCCTCTGCATCATACCGAAAGATAACGCTTAGCTCCTCTGATTTATTATTGTATGGACACATTTCAAAATGTTGCACTTAACTGAAAAAAATGCCTCTCAAACCTTGTACATTACCCTGATAAAATATGTTGCAAAATCATTTGACCTCTTGCTTTTTTGTGAAACCCTTCTTCATGACTGCAGTCTCCTCATGCTTGCATCAGTTCGAAATGAAACAGAAGTCTCTAAGGTATTACAAATCACAGACAACAGCCTGTTCGTGAAATTTACCCAAAAGCATCTTCACAGATTGATCCACCAGAACTTCTGCTCCATGGTCTGCTACAGTACACTGATTTCATAATGCTCGATTTCAGTTTCTGAGAATGTGAGGAGGAGGATATCTGCTTGCAAAGGATGTCATGTTTAGCATGTTTATAGAGTCAAATCTATACATTTATAAGTCACATTATGAGGAACAACATGTTTGTCTTTATAACAGCCTTGATTTTCACAAGTAAAGCAGATTTATTGGTTGCTCATACATGGTGAAAGTCTAATAATCCCACATGTGCTCCATTGGGTGGTCAAATTATTCAACATTTAAACACCAAAACATTTTAAGACTCGACTTTGTTCCAACATAATTTTAAAATCACCCTTCTTCATATTTTTTAGTTGTTACAACACAGACACTCCACTCTACTCTCTCATACCTGCAGAGATGGGAATTAACGAAGTACAAATACTTCGTTACTGTACTCAAGTAGATTTTTCTGATATTTTTACTTTACTTTACTACTTATTTTTGTGGCAACTTTTTACTTCTACTCCTTACATTTTAAAAATTGGCTCGTTACTTTAGTTTTGAATAATTTCAATGGAGTTACCGTTATTATTGTTCATGTCATCAATACCAAATTCAATCTAATTGGATGGGAATCTACGTTGCATTTGACGCACCACTACGAGATGAGTCGACAGATTCGGCAGTATTCATTCGCGGCAAATCATTGCAGCTTGGTGGCGGTGGCGTTAGCATAGTAGTATGGAAGACGAGATGATTGAAAATGAACACAACGGAGATCTAGTCCTATTGGCAGACATCCATTTAAAATTTAGGCAACAGCATGAAAAAAGTGGTTTCTACTTTTACTTTTATACTTTAAGTAAATTTACAAGCCTGAACTTTGTTACTTTTACTTGAGTAAAGAAGTTTAATCAGTACTTCCACTTTTACCAGAGTATTTTTTAACACAAGTATCTGTACTTTTACTCAAGTACGGAAAGTGACTACTTTTGCCATCTCTGCATACCTGGTAGTTGAAATAAAAACATTAAGCTGATGTAGAAAGTTTAAAACTCCAGTAACACCACAAGTTTCCACAAAATACCCTCTTGCTCATTTAACTCACCTTTCCAATTCTGCCCGATTTCTCATTACCTCATCCACCTGCTCCTGCTTCTATTCAAGGTGCCTGTATCCAGTAATCAGGGCCAGATTATTCTTGTTCTCTCTAGCCAGTGGTAAGAGTGTTTTTAGATGATTTGATGTTTCTGATTTTCTTATCCTGACCTGTTCTGCCTCTCAACCCCTGAGCCTACCCGTTCCCATCAGAATGGTTTGCCTGAACTGTCTTTGGACTCCTGGATCTCTGAGCCTGTCTGTTCCTGTTCTGGTCTTTTTGCCTCTGTTTGACTCTTGCAAGTTCTGCTGGGCTTCAACATCTGGCACACTCTGGCCAGCGCCCGCTGCATCTTGTTGGAAGCCCACCGGCTGGATCCTTCCCCGTTATCTGGGCATGGACTGAACTTGTAAACCAGGGTAGTGACTCACATGGATAATCATCCTCCATCAGAGTATCATGGTCATTAACCTGTGTGTCTCTCCTCGAGAGGTTCCAGCCTCACATTCCCTAGCCGCTGCTACTTAGATCCGCTAGTTTTAAACAAACGCTTTTTTATTAATCCCACTGTCTGTCTTGCCTGAATGCTGGGTCCTCTGCTCTGAGTCATGACACCCTTTATTATAATTTTTACAATAATCTTTGCAGACAAGGCAGAATAAATCTACAGCAACTGGCCAAGCGTCTCAATGAACAACACTGATGTTAATGAGTAATTTGAAAATGTCAGCAATACCCCAGTTTCAACATCAACAAAGTATTAACTATCCAGATTGCTAATAATTAAACATATATATTTAACTATAAAGGTCTAAACAAGGCTGCAGTAACAAGAGTCTGCTTTAGGACCCGATTTAACAATCATTTACACTGAAAAAACAAACTCCCCTACCCTTTCTGAGGAAGTTTTGGAACTTATTAATCAAAATGTTTAATAGCATTTCATGTAAAAACTGTAAAGTAATCTAATCATAATGTTATAAAGCTTATGTAAAAGCCTTAATCATCTAATTAAAAAATATATATTTTGTCTGAAAAACTTGCTCCTTATCCCAGACGTAAGGAGAATGCAGGACGCTTTTCATATGTGGAACAGAGTATTTCCTGCAGCTCCTTCAGCCCTGTTTGGCAGCTTTAGTGACCAGTTTCCAACTGTTTTTTGGGGCAATTATGGAGAACACTCTGGCAAATCTGCAAATGTTAAGGAAATCCTTTTTGCTGAACCTGACCCACTAAAATGAACAGTAGGCAATAGTACATTCAGACAGGTTTGTATCAATTAAATGTGCAGGAAATTAGAGTTAGAAAAAATTAACATTGAAAAATCTGGCATTTTAGCAGAGGTGTTTGTTCCCTCTTGCCTTTGTGTACATTGCTGTGTCTTTTATTAGATAAACAATGTGCAATTTAAACTGGATGGGGAGAGAAAATTAAGAACTGACACAAATCAGAAACATTTTCAATATATTTCTTCTTTTTTTTTTAAATAGAGCTTATAACACTGATGCTCAGAGCCGTATTATATACCATTCTGCTTTTTCTTTTTTACTGTTCCTTTGTTTATCTCCATAAAGAGAGTTTTAGCAGAACCGCGTTTCTCTTTGATGAGTTATTCATGTTTTCTCCGTGAGCATTAACTTTTAAGAATGTTCTGGCTGATTTGTGACAACAATAGGAAAACAGATGAGAGGAAATATTTCCACATGTGTGCAGCTTTAAACATCTGTATTTTTTCTCTCTCCAGTTCTTCCACACATGATGTCGCGCACTGATGGATTCTGCGGTTCCAATCATCTTAATGCCCTCACTGAAAAATTCAGCCAGGTACAAAAAGAAGCTGCCTGACTTTCTCTCTCTCTTATTTTCTCATCACTGATAAGATTTCCTCTTATAAAACTTCTAATACTATTTATAACCAAAAAAAAAGCACAACTCATTGATGAATAAGTGAGGTCATTCACTTGTGGGTCTGATTCATCATTTTCACCTGATTTATGAACACATATCATTGGTCACATTCATTACCCCTAATGATTCATAAAAGTAAAATGTGTGCAATGGCTGCAGCAGGATGTTGTGATACAGTCATAATAACGTGTAAGATACAAAGCAGCGATCTGGCTCCTAGCAGAGAAGCTTGGCTGTGTTGCAAGACGATGAAAGGAACTTTAAAAAAAAAACATCTGCCATATGTATTTGGCTAATATCCCCCCTGGGTTCACTTTTAATCATTAACCTTTGACCAACATGAGGGAGGCCCAGCATCTATTGTGAAGAGTGGATGCTGGACATTGCTGTAGATCCATTTATAACAACATGCCTGCTGATGGAGATCATTTCCACTGTTTGGTTATGAAATATCCGGAGCAGATGTTTTTTTGTTTGTTTGTTTGTTTTCTTTTCTTGATGAATGAACAAGACATTTTCCTGCCAATACTGATCTGCAAGTGGGCAACATATTTTGATTCATTTTTACCGCCAAAAAAAAATTATATCAATTGATTGAATCTGAACTGAAACTAATGGTATATCATTTAAAAAAAAATCAATGTCTCCAAGTAACTCCAAGCAGAAATTTGTGGTTCTTAGTGTTATTTGTTTTACTCCCACAGGAGGCACCAGTGAGCCGTACGAGGAGAACAGTTGATGAGTCGAAGACTAGCTGTCTGCTCCACCTTCACGCTGACTACCTCTACTACAAGAAGTTCAAGTCTGTTGAAGCTGTTGTTGCTCAGGTTAAACATTTAGATTCACATGTTTTATATGTTTCTTTCAGGTTGTAGAAGGACTCAACCAAAAAGGACTTCTTATATTCTTGTAGTTTTAAGTAGAGATTAGAGAAGAAAATGACTTGTTTATGTATTTCTGTCAGTAGAAATACTGCAGTACTCAGGCTCCAATGAAAGGAATCACTTCTTCAATTATTTATTTTATATTCTTATTATTGGTCCGACAAAGATCCTTTATAGCAACATATTTAGCCTTACTGTCTTATTTTAAATTTAATGTCTATAGTGTCTGTTTGCAGTCAAATAGATCAACTTCATGAGAAAAAATAGAAGTTTTTATGTTTATGATATGGCTCTCTGCCCTTGTTGGAAAACACTGGGGGCGCCACAAGAAAAAACTAAAAGTTATTCATCCGTTGGTGCCCAAACTTGCCTCTTATTTTGGTTTTCACTCAACAGTACAAGTACAATTAAAAAGTTAACGGTATCTGGGGCCATTTAAGTTTGTCTCTGAGCTTCTGTCTTCTTTCATCACTGAAAGTCTTAAAATCTGATCAGATCTAAGAATTTGATTCTACACTTTTCAGAAAATATATATAAAAAAACAACAATGTGATATTAATTTTTTTTCCGAATTATGCAATATAGACATTTTCAGTGCTTTCTTGGCACCGATAGCACTTTCGATTAAGACACACTTGAAATCACTACATACAAAATAGGATGATCAAACCCGGAGCTCTTATTTATCTTATTCCTCCAAGTCTTATTTTCAAAAGACTAGAAGTTAAAAATAATGTTACATGTTTTAGAGAGTCTTGTTAGCATCCTTAAGGAATTTTAGGTCAAGTGTTCAATTCATCTCTAATATGATAGACCGTACAGTATAACATTGGTGAAATTATCACCTTTGCACTTGTTACTGGAACTGAACAACAGTATCACTTAATATTTTAGTTTATGACAGTAATTTCACAGATTTAAGTGACCTTTTCTCTCTGAATAATGTTGTGATTTTGTCCTTGAAATGCTTAGAAATAATCCCAATAAAGAGTCTTACTATTTTTCAGATTTATTAATTGCAAACATTTATAATTAATTTATCTGAATATTTATCTAATTTCTAATTGAGAACTGAACAGCCAACCTAGTACATACTTTTTGATATGATAATTTTGAACAAAATGAGAAAGTCAGGTTATCCCCTGCAGTTTTCTTGTAGCCAGACTGAGGGTTTCCCCTTCATACTCTGTGCTTTAATAAAATCATCTGGACCTCTTCATATTTTTTCCACCTCACTTGTTGTTGCTGGTTGAGAGCCAGACTCCTGTTGGGCCTGGCCAAAGAGTATTAGGTAAGCGAAGCTGTAATAGAGTATAAATAAACAAACTGCAGTTTACAGTCTCTACTGACCTGATTTCAGCTGCAGATCTTTACATTTGTGGAAAATTCCCACCAGGCTCTCCAGTTCATACATATCCTGCAGTAAAGAGACAAACATGTGACGTGTTTGCACGTGCAGCAATGAAAGTGGGACAAAAGGTTTCAGCAAGACTAAAGCCCCAGGATGATAACCATCTTTTAGAGATTACATGGTGGTCTGTTTGGTTAATAGGGGTTACACTGTTAGAAGCATTTAATGTTCCACCTACAAAGTTTTCTGCCTCTGTTGCTTCTCAGTCACTCAGGGTCATGGCAGATGAGAAAAGAGAATAAAAAGCAACAATTTTTAAAAATGCTTCTTTAATTTTTTTTAGTCAAGAGCTCCTGGTTTGAATATGTGGATCTATGTTGTTTGTGTTGCCTTTCATGATGTTGACACATTTACGTCCAGTTAGGCCCACTAACTGGACGTCTCTTGTATCCCATTTACACTAGCCTTTTGAAACCATACCAGACACAACTGAACCGCCCTAATATGGTACTAGTTCATCAGTAGGGCTCGGTGCGGTTCAGTTCTGGAGCGGTTCTCAGATAACAAAGAGAGCATGAGAAGAATGCCCCATCTCCTTACAGGCAGCCTCCGTAATCATGAAATTTCAGACATTCATGAAAATACTAGCCTCCCAACCTTGCCACACGAATTGCAGTGATGATTCTGCTTAGCAGTGTGATGAACCTCAACCTCTGTTGTTGTTCCTGCATGTTCCTGATTAGATGATCGTTTGTCGTATCCACTTCCCAAAAGCTGATTGGCAAGTAAATTGACAAATGCTGCAGAATGAGCCACACTGGCTTGTTTGCACATGTATGTTCCATCAATAAAAAAGATGTGGTGGAAATGTGTTGTCTTCATTGCATAAACCTTCTTGAGCATAGTCCTTAAAAAATATGAGACTTAAGTCACAGGAGGTTTAAAGTTGGTCTGCCACTCACTTTTGATGCCCGTTTTGTATCATTTCACTGTCCAAATACCCATATTGTCAAGTTTCAAGCATCTAGCCTTAGATTTGAGATAAAGATCAAGGTGAAGAACTTGGAGGTTTTCCTGCTTGTTCAGTTTTCTCTTCACCTTTTGCACTGCAACAATATCCATGATGCCTTCCTATGCAAAATATAACAATTATAACCAAAAATAACTTCCTGAATGTTACAGGGGCCACCATTTGATTTGCTTGAATCCCTCCTTCAATCCTTGAGAACAATTGTACCTGAGATTGTCACTAGGAGGGAAGGAACCATGCTAGCATGGTATGTAAACAGTCATATGGTCATATGGAACCAAACTTAGCACGGATCAGTTTCAAAATGATGGATCTTGAAGTCACTTTCGATCCTAAAGCAGATCCTACATGCTTTCCTTAAAGAAAGACATATGAAATCCTCATTTCTGGGTCAGTTATTGTATTTTTCTTTTATTTGTCTGGAAAAAAAAAAAACTTTGATATATATATTGCTCTCTCTTAAAAAAATGCTCATTAAATTTGCCTCATAAATGGATCTATTCGAATCTTTTTGTAGATTGTGCTTTCTTTTCAATGAATTTAAGAAGTAAAAGAGAACGGACAAATACTTTCTGTCTCTCCTGTTTCCTCTTTCATTTTAATCCCGGATTCCACACAAAATCCTGTTGTGGGTTTTTTAACCGCTCCTTGGACACCTGGTATCTTAAATGGAGGTTTTACTAAATCTGTCTAATCAGTGATTATATTTTATATTATTAGTATTATTAGTACATTCTCACCGCCATTTTTAAACAGTAAACACCAGTATATGTTTTATATTTTGGTTTCTTTTTCAAAAACAAAGAAGAACATTAGACCCACTTATGCATCCTTTATAGTGCCTGTCCTTTCAGGATCAGGGGCTGATCGGCTCTTTCTGTGAGAATCATAGTACACCTGGGGCTGGTCTCCATTCCATCCAAGGGAAAAACAGAGACAGACCGTGAACAAACACATTTATACCAGAGGACCATCTAAACAGGCCAATTCAGTCATGTTTTTGGACTGTGGGACAGGAGGTTAACCCACTCATCCGCATTCAAACACAGGCTAATAGAGGATGTTTTGCGTGTTACTTTTTCACTCTGCAGTCCAAATTTTCAGTAGGGAAGACTTGATGTTAAAGCACCTCAAAATTCAATACTGCACTGCCCTTTGAAATATAGCGATAGATGCATTAATCAACTACTTATTTGAACTTGTGGCAGTTTATCATTAACTGCTTTGTTTCCATGATACTAGAATAGAATAGAATAGAATAGAATAGAATAGAATAGAATAGAATAGAATAGAATAGAATAGAATAGAATAGAATAGAANAGAATAGAATAGAAAATCCCACAATGGGAACTTATGGTGTTTCCATCAGCAAAAAAATTAAAGATTAAACTGTACAATACTATAGAAATTGCTTCATCAGTGCCTTAATACATGAAATTGAATATTCTATTAGTCAGCAAATAACTGAAATATCCACTATTTAGCAAATTATAAAGGCTTTCCCTCTTACAACAGGAAAATGGTTTGTTAAGTGGTTAGCCTGGCCAGTGAGACTGACTTATATGGAGCATAAGTCAGTCAGGTAAGGCTGAAAATCTTGACCAATAACATCACAGCAAGCAGGATGCAACCATAACAGCCAAGATGCAGCAAAACACTGAGCAAAGTTTTAATGATGGCTTTTAATATTTCTCAAAAAACTGTCAATATAGTTAATATTTCAACAACTGGCTGCTGTTTTTTTTTTTTTTTAAGCTAGGCTAGGGTTTGGTATTTGTTCTAAGGTTTAACTTTGCAGGTAAGTAAGCCACTTTTGTCTTTTTTTATTCTTAGATAATCTTTACTATGCTTGTCTTTTTTAATGGTCTCTATTTAAAGTGAACATGATTATTTCTTTTTTTTTCATTTATGATTGTGGCTTTGCATTTAACTTGCGAATAATTGATAGCAAACCCTCCTATAGATACCATCAGTTTAGGAGCCTTGGATATGAAACACTCCACAGATGTTTTTTTACTGTTAATTTGTTATTATTTTCTTATCTTTTTTTTTTTAGGTTGCCCTTTATATGCGGGCAGTGAATGACATCTACGACAAGACTGACTTTAATGGAATCAAGTTGATCAACTTCAAAATTAAGACCCTTAGAGTAAGTTTGGTGCCAAAACAAACAGTTAGGATCCTCAGGCTTGCCTGAGGATCCTAACTGCTGCAGAGTTTTCTGTGATTTCACAAGTGTAGAAACAAACAAAACCTCAAAGAACTACTGTGGCACAGCCTCTCACACAAGCCTGTCTGATTCCTAACATGCCAGATTGTTATGATGCTCAAAAACAAAAGGTTTAAAAAACAACAGTTACTACATTGCGTCCTTGTCAGTTTGGCAAATTAAGTAAACCTCTGTGTTTCTCCAGGTGATGACAACACAAAACAAGAAGGATCCTCTTAATCGACTGTTTATTGGACCGGAAAGTCTGTTGAGTCTTTACTCTGAGAACAACTGGGGAAACTACTGCTTGTCCTATCTGCTCACTAACAGGGACTACAGTGGAGTATTGGGGCTCGCATGGGAAGGCAAGGCTGGTAAGCTGTATAAATAATCCAAAATTCATTTAAAGGCCGTTTGAAACTGCAAAACGGAAGCTTTAAATACAAAATGTGTGCTTTGGTTCCATTATGTGGGAAAAAAACACAAGGCATAAAAGAAACCTCCGCTCTGCTCTGTGGGGGCCTATGAAAATATACTTTGCCTCGAGGGAGATTTCATACAATGGGTTGCTTGAATAACAAGCAAAGTCAAACACTTGAGCTTCTTCCTCAGCAGGACTTTAGCCTCATGTATCAACACTCAGTGTATAATAAAACTTATTAGATGGGATTCTTGTAATGTTCATTTTGATTCCGCTTTAATAGTTTGATATTTTTATTTTCATGTTTATAAGATTCGATGAACTGAACAGTTTCATGGAGGATGTTTTCTTACCAGCTGCCTAAAGTGATGGATAAAACATTAGCATATGGACAGAAAAATACCTGTTTTATTTTGTGCATCTTTTTTTTAACTTAAAAACTAAGTAGGGAGTAGCTTAAGAGGGAAAGAGTTTTCCTCTTTCAGGGGATACTCCTCTCCGTTTGATGTTGTGGCTCCACTCTTGTGACTTATGGCTCCCATGTTGGGAGGTGTTGTGCTGGCCATGCTTGCTCTAGTGAGCATCCCTTCCTCTTGACATTCCAGGGGCTAGCTCACCAGCTGGGATGGTATGTGCTTTCACTACCATGGTCCATCCAACTTCCAGCTCCAGGAGCTGGTGCCTTGTTGGTTGGATCTCTAGGCCATCGGATGGACTGGGTCTCAGCTTGCCCTGCAAAGCAAACCATGGTTTTGTTGCATGATGAGGGCAGTTTGTTGACCTATGTCTCACCCTGTGTGTCTTTTGCATGAGGCTGCAGCTCCTAGGCTCCACTCATGACCTACCTCAATGCATTGTTGTCATTTGTCTGTCTGCTTGGAGCTCCTACCGCCACTCCCTCACCTGACTCCCTCTGATATTTCTTGCTTTTTGATGTGTTTCTGATGCTCCCACTCTTAAAAAAAACAAAACAAAAAAAAAAAAACCTGGACATATCTAGGTAACACACTCAGCTCCATACACACACAAAAACACTTTCTACAAATAAACAGAGACGAGCCTGTCTCACTGTGATCAGTAGTCTGCCATGACCACCTGGAGGTTTGAGAAGAAGGAGCAGAAAGATACAAAACCACAGGAGACATTTTCATGATCGTAGTTCCCAAACATTGTGTTCTGGGTGTCAAAACAAGCATCGCACTGATACACGTTCTTCAATTCGCTTAGGGGAGGACAGAACGTCTAAATTATAGGTGTATGGTCAACTGTGGTTGATTTTAAACATGGAATTATATTAACAAGTTTTTTTTAACTTGATTATTACCAGTTTAGACAAAGCATTGCATTAAACAATAATATAATTCACATAATTTAGAGCTATTAAACAGCTGTAGAAAATAACTGTCACCGACACCTTTATCAAGAATATACGGTGTCTTGATAACAGAAAAAACATGTTAATAACTCACTGTAGACCAAACAGAAATGTGAGATTAATACAAAACAGAGTATCTTTAGCTTAGTAAAGTATATAATATCTTTATGTTCTGCTTCTCTGTGTGAATTCCAGTGTGAATCTGTGCAGATTTGGCAAATCACAGTATCGTTTTCAACTCCCAGGACTCCCTGTGTCTCTTAACATAAAGAAAAATAGCTGTGGGTTGTTCTTAACATTGATTACACAAACTTTGCAGTTTTACAATTTGTATTATTCATTAACTTCTGCTCTAATGTTTCAAACATCTATGCAAAAATGACTTGTAGAAGCTTTTACACAACTTAAGGCAAAAAAAATCAGATCAAACTGCATAATACTTGTTTTTATTAGATCATTTCATCACACTTTGGCACACAGAGCCTGAGTAAACATAGTTCAAATTTAATCCTGCTACTCATACAGGGTTTAGCTTGAAAAAGCAGAAATACCATGTCAGAGGACCGAATCGTCAACATTCTGTTAAGATTTGCATGAAAATCTCTTTCAGCTTTAACTGTGTCCTTCAACAGAGCATTATAAAAGAGTTCCAGTTATCTAAACATGTTTTGTTGATCTAATGTTGAAACCAATTTCAGTAGCTGCCAGATAAAATAAGACAAACAGCCTTGAGTCCAGAATAGCATTGACATTATCTCAAACAAATTCCCTCTTCTCCTGCAATGGGCCTGCATCAGGTCTGAGTTTAAGACCCTAAACACAAACTTATCAAAAACAAGCATGAAGCAACTCCACTAACCTCTGCCAGCTCTGCAGAGGGGACTATCTCTCAGTGTGTAGTATTATTTCTGTGCAGGAGGAAGTTATTTTGGGACAAATAACCTTTCAGGGACTTTATCTCATGTGCAGCTTTCTATTGGCCAAAGTGGAGGGCGTGGAATGAGGCAGACCACCACGGTGACATGTGACAAGAGTTCAACAGACCTTTGCTACCCCCCCAAAAACACACACTCATAATCATCGTATAGAGGTTCTAGCACCTTGCTGAGGATTGATGGCTGCATTCCACAGTGTGGTTGCCATGGAGACGTCTCACATGGTTGACGAGCACTTACACACATGTTCGGTTTAACGTCAGTGGATTATGTCCAACCTTCGAAAAGCGAAACACTCTACTCACTCGGGTTTGTTAGAGGACAGGAGTAATAGCTGGTCTGACCATAAACTCAAAGATCTCAATATCTGTAGAAAACAATAACCCCCCTGAAATAAAGAACATTTCTTTTTCTTTATCAAATTGGCTCAAAGTTCGTAAGTAAACACAGTTCAATTTTAATCCTGCTACTCATACAGGATTTGGCTTAAAAAAGCATAAATACCATGTCAGAGGACCCGTTCGTCAACAATCTGCATGAAAATCTCCTTCAGCTTTAACTGTGTCCTTCCACAGAGCATAATAAAAAAGTTTCAGTTATCTGTTAAATCAGGTTTTGCTTATTTAAAGTTGAAACCAAAGTCAGAAGCTGACAGACAAAATAAGACGTTATTAAATTGCAAAAGATCTTCAAATAACATAAAGCAATGAAAATGCATTTTGTCTGCATTGGTTCTGCAACATAGATGTCAAACAAGTGAAAGAAAACTAATGTCTGAATTTATAATCCAGCAATAGGGCTGCTTTTCTGTCTTTGATAAGACCCCTTTTAAAACACTTGCTTTAAAATTCTTGGGGGTCTCAAGATTTGCAGCTTTAAGACATCTTTGCTCCAACTTCTATGCATCTGATAGTTTAGCAAATTAATGTGAAACCCAGCCTGGACTCACAGCCACAGTTGCCTGTGAGCATAGGCATATCTAGAGGGGGGCCAAGGATTAGTTGTTCTCATTGTTCAAATCGTTAATTAACATAAAACAAACAGAAACAGAACAGGAGCGCGGGGCTGTGGCTCACGGCGACTGCAGAAAGGGGGCGGGGCACCGCCCAATCACAGACACTCAGACCTCCAGCCAGGCTTACTGGGGAAAAAATGATTCTCCCCGCGTTTCGAGCCAAATCTATGAGGACTCCATGGGAAAGGAACGGGACACGATCAGGAGATGAGACAGACACAAAACCTTCTCTTTCCACTGGCCTCCAGGAACCATGAAAATAACTAAAAACTGACTAACAGATAGGGTTGGGAATTGATAAGATTTTCACGATTTCAATTCTCTTATCAATTCTGTGAAACAATGAATTTGGTAAGTGCACGGTGACATTTACCTACCTTCGCCTGGGACATTCTATTTCTGCCTGCCTCGGCGAAAACAGAAGGCAGTGAACTGGGGCTGCCAGCCTCTGAGCCAGCCAGGCTACCTGTCTCATCACAGTCATCTAAATCTAATTGAGAATGCTTCCGCTTAATGAAAAAACATAACTGTACAATTTCAGGAAATAAACTCATCTCCCCCTGATTTAAATAAACAAGTGTCACCTTTCCCTCGCTCCCTGAACTGCGGAGCAACTTTGTAGGATGTTTCACTACATCCATTGCAATAGCTAGAATCATGTAAGAATTCCAGCTACCAGTAGTTCAAAATAAACATGCTAGCAATGAAGGTCTGGATTAACGAGAAAGGCACACTCCCTTAATAACCCCAAAGACAGGCAGGAAATTGGTTTATTTCCAGAAAGGGAATTTACTAGGAACCACATTAAGCACAGCCAGTGATATAAAACTAGCTGCTTACCACCAGAGTTGCCTTCCATGCTACTCGTAACTTTAGCTTCTGTGCAGAAGCATCAAAAACACAGCATTCGTTAAAATGTATGCAATGTTGTGTGCACAGGTGTTTCTGCATGTTGGATGCATTTCCTCCCGTGGGTGTAATTGCCACTTTGCAATGATTGCAAAGCGCCTTGTTGCCATCTTTCTCTTCCTTAAAACAAAGCCAAACTTTCAATCGCTATGACCTCTTTTGTTTTGCTTTTCTAGACTTACACCTGGTCACGTTGTACTTGCTAACTGAATGTCGTGTGCGTAACTTGCTTAAAAAATGTGATGTAAGTCGTGCTGCCCAGAGCTCTAGGCTCTGCTGCTGCCTGGAATCGTTAAGAGAGTCGTTAAGCGAGCTGCCAAACGGTGCCATGGTTCTGAACAGGAACCGGTTTTCGATTCTTATCCAACTAACAGCTGAATCAGAAAACAAACAGAAAACAAAATAATGATCTGACTTCGATAGCTGGGCTGGACCGAATATAAAACCCTGATCGCAAGTGGATGAGATGAGAAGTAATTAGACAGCCGGGCAGGAACGGCAGGTGAATGATATTAGCAATTAAGGTCAGCTATCAGGGCAGATCATGACAGAGCTAAGAATTACTTTTAAGGTTTTCTAGGGGAGAGTTTGTCTGTGCAGTCATCAATGAGTCTTAAGATAAAAAAAACAACAACTAATAAACCCATTTAATGTATATATTATATAAAGCCAAAAACAGATTTAAACACCAACGTATAAATATGTTAGTAACTTTATTA